TATTAATTTAGTAATTACCTTAATTACTAAAGTAATATCCAAAATGTAATTAACCAATCTTATTGATTAATATATTCCTTTAATTGACATCTAATCAAATTAGATATTGTCAATTGATTCTAATCCTTTAGAAATACATTTTTCACCTTTGTTCATAATAGGTGTGACCTTTTAGGTTCACCTTAATACTAGTAGTGGGTTTACAACACTTTGTAATTTGAGTTAATCATATTAACTCTTATTCATGAATTAACCCTTTAATTCAAGAACCCACATATCATGGGAACACCTAGCAAGTAGCATGAATCTAGTATTAAGTGAATAGCGAGTAAACCTATTCCGATTACAAGTGCATACATGTAGAATCCCTTCGACATCCAATTTCCCGATTAAGTCTTGGGTATGATTTTGTCGAAACCCAAATTGACTTAATACTATGATTCTATTTCAAAGTGTAGTAATCCGGGTATGAATCTCCATTCATCTCTGCCTTGGCCAAGGACTTTGAATTACTAACATTGAAACACATAGGAAATTCACTTATCTTCATAAGTGTCGAATCCTTTGTTGGCCACTAACAAACTTCCATACATATTAACATAATACCCAAAATATCCCTTTATACGATAGTGCTAGCTACCAAAAGGATAAATCAAAGTAGAATGTAATATGCACAAAGTTACCATTGTGCCTCAAGTCTAAGGATTAGTCATGTACTATTGTAACATGAAAATTCTTTATTCGACTGAATAAATTCTTCATTAAGAATTTTCATACGGTCATGTTCAGTGAACTTGTTCTCTAACAAGCACCCACATAAATGTACTTGCGTCATACGCTAATGTTGATGGAATGCAACATTCTTGTCCAACAAGCATACATACTATGTGCAAGTCTTTTATGGATTATTCAATATCCCTTCTCGAAACATCCGTCGACTTGGAACTGTATTTAAGATCACAGCTTTCAAGGTATGTTCCATGATTACCATCTCTATGCGCAACCATACCTTATAACCATAAGTGATCTAGGGACTTTATCTTAAGTGCATTTATAGTATAAACGCGTACTCTTAAAATAAAGTGTTGCCTTATTTACAATATAATTCCAATAGATCGTATTTACAAGTAGAATACGTCCAATCCGATTGGAACGCTGGGTATACTACTCTAACACGCGCGCCTTCTTGGACCTAGCTTGCTTCTTTTGCAGTATGTTTTGCTTGATGATAACATCTGGAGACAACAAGAACAAATGGGTCAGTGCAAGTATACATCACAAACATAATAGCAAAAACAGACGAGGCCGATCAGGTCAACGTAGTCGAAACGGTCGAAATGATCGACCCCATGGCCGAATACCAACATGGTCGACCACTTGGCACGGTCGACCCGGTCAACACGGTCGAGGCAGCCAATATGGTCAACATGGTCGAGGTAATTGGCACAACCAACCAAGCGCCGGCAGAGTCGACCACAAGCACGGCGCGGACCGGACGATATGGTCGATATCGACCGGACCAAGGACACGCGATCGACCCGAGGACACGATCGATATGGCCGATCCCAAGACGACACGATCGACCCGAGGGATACGGTCGATATGGTCACGGCGTGGTCGACCTGCGAGCATGGTCGACTCAATGGACCATCGCTCTCACGGTCGACACAACCAACCCCCAGCAGCTAGAGGAGTCCCAGGATCGACCCGCCACTGACGGTCGACGAGATCAACCCTAGGCCGAAGCGGCAGGGCCGATGTACCGTGGTCGCAGTTGACACGTCCGATCCACATGACCCGTTAATGGGAAAACACTGTGATCGACGTGCGAAACCTTGCACGTGGGGTTGATGGGCCCAACCCACACGGTTGGTTAGCATGAAGACAGCACGATCGATCACATGACACACGGCTTTAACATGGTCGACCCCGGCAAAAGCCAACCAGGGATCGATTAGCTCGACCCAAGCACAACGACACACAAGAGCATATAAACCGTATGCACGTAGGTAGGAAAAGACGAATAACAACAATAACAATATGAATGCAAGTGGGGAAGGACCAACGGGGAGTACCTATGGTGCTGAAAGGGGGCGGCTGCTCGAGGGTCAGACCAGCATAATGGCGAAGCGCGATGGAGGAGGTAAGGGGCACAATGTCGATAGGTTCCTTATTCCACTCTTGGACCACGGGCCTCCAAGGGGAGTTTCTCTTAGGCTTATGTAGTGGAGAAAATCGCGTGTGAAGCCATTTCGGTTCGAAAAAGAAGGCTTTGGGCGGAGGACGGACGAAGAAGAACCTTCTCTTCCATGAAGGGACGTTGGAAGGAAGCTTCCGGATAAACTGAGCCCCATTACGAGAAAGGGTATAATGGCACCCCGTGTCACCCCACTGTTGGAACCTCAAGCTGTAGCAGTGCAGATAGAAGTCGGGCTCTAACTGCCCCAACCGGTGGCGGCATAAAATAGCAAATGCGATCATGGTTCGAATAGCATTGGGGAGGAGTTGGTTTAAGGGAAAATTAAACACCCGACAAAGACGCAAAAGAGGGCCAAGGCTAGAGAATCGAAGACCCACACCAACTTGGTCCCTGAAAAACGTATAGCACCCGGGAGGTGGTTGGTCATAGGTGTCCGTAAGCTCCGGTTGCACAAACTCCCAATCGGTAGGAAACTCGCAAAAGTGCCTTGAACTCCGCAAGGTTGTCGAGCGACATGCGGAAAAAAGGACTAGGCCTACTCTCAGAGTCAACTCCCGAAGCCTCATTCTCACTCGAGTCGTCCGAGGAGGAGGCACGATTACCCGAATTGACCGAAGGGGTAGCATGGCCGCCCGAATTGGCCGGAGAAGGGTCGCGATTTCTGGACCCACGCGGAGGAGAACCGGGTTCTCCCGGACCGGTTAAAAGGGAGGCACCCCGGCCCGAAACCGAGTCGGGAATGTCAGAAAAAGAAGGGATATCCGCGAGGTCAAAAGGTTCATTCGGAAGCGAGTCTCCAAACCGTTGAAGCTTGTCCCAAGTGAACACACCTTCGGCCTCGTCAACTAAGTGAAGGGCGCCGGCCCCGGAGGGAGGGTCGAAAGGTATATCTACATAAAGGGACGCAAGGGAAAAGGTATAAGGACTATTGGGTGAAACGACCCGACTCAAACCCGGCAATCAGGTTATGTAGCCTAAAAAA